TCCTCTCACTGGCGTTTCCACTGCCTCTCTCCTCTCTCCCTCTCTCTCTCTCTCCCCCTGTGCTTTGCCCACCACTTCTCCTCGCATCCCTCCCTCCAGTAGTCGCCCTCCCGCTTCTTTGGCCATTGCTCCACTTCTTTCTGCTCTTTCCCCCCATTACACTGCCATTCCCGCCAATGGAAAGCTATTTCCCGCGCATTCCCGCCAATGGAAAGCTATTCCCTGTCTGTTTACTTTTTGTGCGCACTCCCGCCAATGGAAAGCTATTCCCTGTCTTTTTACTTGTTGTGCACTTTCCCGCCAATGGAACCAGCCCCCACTTCCGCCAATGCAAGCTATTTGTTGCCTTCACTCACTTCTTGTGCGCTTTCCCGCCAATGGAAGCTAGCTCTGTCCTCGCTTCGTGTGCGCATTTCCGCCTATAAATATGTGCATTCAATCTGAGGACTACTCTGACACCTCCCTCCGCCCAGGTTTTTTCACTTTAGCCTGCACGGCCGAGTATCCTGACCCGTTTTCTTTCCTTCCTCTTCCTCCTACTAATTCCTCTCCCTCTCTCACCGCTCAACGGTTCGTTTGGCTGGGCCATCGTTCTCTGTCCTCTACTTCATGTTTTTCAACTTGAGTGCTCCTCTCTCTTTGGGGTTTGTTTTCATTTTGTCATTTTTTTTTAATTTGGATTGTGCTTTGATTTGAAGAAGGAAAACTGTTTGACAGTAGGCGGCTTTGTTTTCTCTCAACGAATTAATATCTGATGATCTGTGTGAACACATCATCAATGCGTGTCCATAGCTGCGCGCCATTGCACGATTTTTTAACGGTGAGATGTGCATGCTCTTCCTCTCGATCAACGGTCCTCCTTCTCTGCTGCTATGCATCTCCCTCTCTCCCCGCCACCTGCTTCCTTTCTGTTTCTGTTTCTTTTCCTCTGTTCATTCCCCACCTTCCTCGCTGTTCCATTTCGCAAGAGGGACCCTCTCTCTCTCTCTCTCTCTCTCTCTCTCTCTCTCTCTCTCTCTCTCTCTCTCTGTGTGTGTGTGTGTGTGTGCGTGTGTGTGTCTCTCCCATCTTCTCTCCGAAAGAGGGAACCTCTGATTTACCTCACCCAAGTCTTGTAATGGAAAATTTGACAGTCAAAGATGTGCAAACTCTGATTACGTAACCTGATCTGACAACTGGTGAAAAATTTTGCTGCAGTAACTTTTCTTGGCTGCAGTAACTTTCTTCTCTGCAGTAACTTTTCTTCTGCAGTAAACTTCTTCCCTACCTTAGCGTTCTTCACTGCGGTAAATTTCTTCACTGCAGTAACTTTCTTCACGGCAGTAAAATTTTAACTGCAGTATTTTTTTGTCGTTGCAGTAACTTCTTCGCTGCAGTAACTTTTTCACAGGGAGTTTTTTTTTCGTTGCAGTTTTTTTTTTCCGCTGCAGTAACTTTTTCCACTGCAGTAGTTTTTTCGTTGCAGTAACTTTCTTATCTGCAGTAACTTTCTTCGCGGCAGTGACCTTCTTCACTGCAGTAAACTTTTCACTACAGGAACTTTTTTTGTTGCAGTAACTTTCTTCGCTGCGGTAACTTTTTTTTGTTGCAGTAACTTTCTTCGCTGCAGCATCTTTGTTCAGCGCAGTAACTTTCTCTGCTGTCAGTAACTTGCTTTTGTGCTGTCTCTTATACACATCTAGATGTGTATAAGAGACAGGTATAAGGCTAAGCATTGTTTCTAAGTTGAATG